GGTAATACATGGCCTGGCTCTTCTCATCTGACCTCTGCTCTTTAATACGGCAGGTGACATGCACATCTTATAATAAATGACCCTCACCCTGGTCAGTGTGGCTCAGTTGGCTGGAGCATCATCCTGTGCACCGAAGAGTTCAATCCCCAGTCAGGGTGCACGGAGGGTGGGGGCAACTGATGGATGTTTCTCTCTCCCTTCCCTTCCTCTCTCTAAATCAGTCAAAACATATTCTCAGGCCCTGGCCAGTTTGGCTCAGCGGTTAGAGCGTCGGCCTGCGGTCCGGAGAGACCCGGGTTCGGTTCCTGCCAAGGGCACGTACTTCGGTTGCAGTTTGTCCCCGGCCCTGGTTGGTCGTGCGGGTGGCAGCCACTCGATGTGTCCCTTCACGTCGATGTTTCTCTCTCTCTCCCTTCCTCTCTCTCCCTCCCACTCTATCTGAACAAAAAATGGAAAAATATCCTCGGGTGAGGATAAAAAAAAAAAAAAACATATTCTCAGGGAGAATTGAAAAAGAAAGATCCTCTACTAATTCTTTATATTTACATTTTATTTTCTTAAATACTTTTTAACCCAAAGTATATTCTCCAGGATACAACGATATTTCGTTCCATTAAATGCTACTTTTTACTATGAAAGATGGAATGTAGGAGAATGTTAATTATAAAACAAAAAGCAAACATACTTCAGTTAACAGGATTTCAGTAACTGAATACAGCCTAGAATATTTTGGAACTTGATTGGGTAAAAGGAACCCTATCCGTTGGTTATCTTTGCCCTCTTGTATTACAAAGGTCAGAATCCCTAATCAGACTCACTTTATCATCAAATTCTTGCCCCAGCTCCTGTCTACCTCCTTCTTCACAAGTAACCTTTGTTAATTTTTCCTCCACTTTCACCTAGAGTCTAGGCACTTATTTCAGGAATTGGCGTGTGTTGTTTGTATCTTCAATCTTCACCTCTGGTCATAAAATGAGCATAACTGCAATTGGCCAGGTGGTCAGTATGTGCTCATGACTATTCTAAGTGCTTGACACGGTGCTGTCATGTAATCCTCCCAGGGTATTTTATGGATGAGGGGAGCAAACTGAAGCACGGAGAGGTTCAATGACTTACCTCCGCTCACACAGTTCGTAAATAACGGAGTCATGATGAGGACCAAGGAAATCTTCCTCCAAAGCCCACAGCCTTAACCAATTGCTACACTCCCTCTCACCAGATCCTCTAAGTCTCTTAATCTGCATTCCTTCTCTTCAGGAAGTTCTTCAGAGAACTAACTTTCTTTAGTAATATTTATTGTGTCATTATGGGCAAGAGTACTGTGCTAGGGGCTGGGGTTTCAGGGACTAACCACGTAGACACTGAAACATACTGTTCAGGCGAGACAAACAAGAAGTCACTAGCACGGAGCGTGAGGCCTGAGTTCACACCCACAGATCCTCACTAGGTCAGGGTCAGGGTCAACAGGAGCTTACTTGCCTCCACATCATCAATCTTAGTGGAGTGTGACGGAGGCACTAGTCTTTGAACACCAGATTCCTGTTTACTAGGTGGGGAACTCTGGAGAAATTATGTAAGCTTTTCCTGGGCCTGTAAATAAAATACAACAGATTACATAGAGCAGTTCTCCAAATTCTGTTCTTATCTTTCTTCCTTGATTAATTACAGGGAGATTCAATAATCAACTTTATGCCCGTAACTTCTGTATCTTTATTTTCAGCCTGAGCCTCCCTTCTGAGCCCTCGCTACAGCTACGGGTTGGACATCTCCACCTGGATGCCCCTATTTCCAACCCAAACCTTGTTTAAAACACCCTCGCTCTCTCAAAATCACTGACTCCTGAGTGGTGTGGCCACTTCCGCCACTGGCACCAGCCTTCTTCCAGAAATTCAGGGGTGAACCTCTGGATTCCTCCTCCTCCCTTGCCCGACACCTACTCAGTCTTGTTTCCAAGACTCGAGTTCCTCCTTCCTTTACATTTTTTCTCCACTAGTTTCGACGTCTCCAGACTCACCTTCTCCAGGCATCTGCTTCTAGTTTCAAAATGTTAATTTCTTTTTGAGAAGCCAAGTACAATTTTAGAATGTATTTGAAACATGCCTGGATTAAAGACCAAGAAAAACAAGTCCAAATGCCCCACAAAAATAAAAATAGTGAATCTCTACAAATGGAGTATGTGATTAGAAGATACTCATTTTCCTTTGGGAATTCGGTCCTAGCCTCTGTGCACACCACTGTATGCCCTCAGCAATAAAAGACAGCACAGGAAACGACAAGTTCAATCTCCGTATTTTAAAAAAGTAACAATTCAATTCTAAGGAGATACAAGGCAGGCACTTGGCAATGCCATCAAGGGAAAGAGTGTTCAAGTTTGTTGTTGTCTTAACTTTCATTATACTGCATGAGATTGTTCTTATACTTGTGAAGGTATGAAAATAGAGAGAAGGGGCTTCTGATTAAACGAAATAGGAATTGCCTTATAAAAACTCCATCACAGCATATAACAATTTTAAATACAACTTCTGGTTAGATTTCAAGGTTGGATACCACATCAAAGTCACCTTGGATAGCATTTAATTGATCCACAGCTGTTACAAATATTAATCATTGTCAGTCTACCCATAGAGAATCATAAATATATTTCCCTAGAGTTCTTGATAAAATATAAGACATAAAGAAAAATTTACTCTATTTAAATAACAAAGTGGGGGGAAAAATACCTACCCTGTATTAGAAACTTCCTTTGATATCCAGGCAAAGAAATGATACCAAAAACAAAGATACTTCACAGCAAGATTTATTAATACATCCAAAAGAAAGAAAGAAAAATCATTTTGTCACACTATATACAGATAATACATACAGTGTTTTATACACATATTACATCAGTTTTTACACAAGAAAAATATACATAAAAATGTAAACTTTTGTATACAAAAACCCTTAAACAAATTAAACAAGGACCAGATAACAAAAGGAGACCAATCCATTATTATTTCATCAAATTTTTAAAACAGTAATACAGTACATTCATTGAGATATATATGGAAAATGTGAGCCGTCTCTTCTTGTTTAAAGGGAAATTACAAACCAAAAGCCCATCACTTCCCAAAATGTGGTCTCCCCCAGCAACACCACACCCAAAGCCATAGATAAGCCTTTCCTTCAGAACTGGGGGGCTCTTACCAAACCTGCCAACCTCCTCATCTCGCTCCACGGTCTGTGCAGAACTGAGTGGCTGCTAGTTTTGTGCATATAACTAAGCTTCCAGCCACTATTATCACAAATACAGAGAAGATTCTGTTTGTAAGTTCCCTTTAAGCAACACTTTTTGTAAATATTTTTAATGTATGGATTGTTAAACATACTTGTGTGCCAAGGTGAATGAGAACACTGAAAAAGATGGGCTTTGAGAACTGCTAGTCCTTGCTACCGTGCAGTTACTTTAAGAGATTTTAAAACTGTGCAACCTGTCATTTACCGGTTTCAAATAAGCTGCCTCACCTTTGATTTCCCACTGCAACTTCGTTTCAACTTACACTTCAGTACTCAAGTTAGTACCATACAATTTGCCAAGAGGCTTTTTGTTAAAGGCTGCTTCTGATATCAAGTTCCAGCTAAGCTACTCTGAACTCACTCCAACCCCAACCTCGCTATTTTAGTCTTAGGGGTACTCATACTCCAGTTTTTGTTTGACGTCTTACATTTAGGATTGTCAATCTACATTCCTCTCTGTAACGTCTTAAAACGTAATCTGCTGCCAACTCATCACAAAATAAAATTATTTAACGTTCTTTCTTAATATTCTTTCATGTGGTGTGTCAAATTGATAGGCTAATGAAAAATACTTGAAGTTGTGGAGAATAAGAATTAAATATATGTCAAGTGCATGCAGACTTGGAGTCCTTTCAAAAAAAAAATATGGGAAGACCTTTAACTAAATAAATGCAAAACATGCTTAAGACAGCTCATGAGAGTGCTGCCTTCCCTCAAAGATGACTTTTGAACAAGGCAGAATAACAATTAGGTGATATAGTTCCCTGCAGCAAGAGAGTAGTTAACATCCCCCAGGCAAAATGGTCTGGATGATTATTATTTATTAATGAAAGGAAGAGGCAAATTGGTGAGTTAAGTTGATCCAGGAGATGCTGGATGGCATATACTAATGGAAATATTAGGACTGCTTTATAACTGAAATCAACAGGCTGGTTTGTGGTACGTCAGAGAGAAGAAAAATGCACAAGTTCCTCAAGTGAGTCTCCAGCTCCCCTTCTCCTATGGGAGAGATGGCATTTTTAAAATGACAGCCTCCCTTTCAATTTAAAAAAAAAAAAAAAAAAGGAAAAGGAAGATAAATAAATAATGCGTGGATGTCTTTAGATGAGAATTTTAAATGTTCTTTAAATAATTCTGATAATGTATTTTAAATCATTACATACAACTGCCATTGCAGTGACAATATTCCAGTAGGGGCAGCATTTTGCTAAATGTAAAAGATTGCCATTTAAAACTCATACATATACATGTGTATATACAGTATATCAACACCATTTATATACATATATATCTAGAGAGCAACATTTCATTGCCTTGAAATAGCTATATATCTACTCCCACAATATGTACTGAAGACATACTGTGTGAGTATATAGGAAAGTATATGTACACATGCTCCAACATGTATAAATACACTTTTGTCTGTGTGTGCATAAGAGCTTTAAAGGCACAATATATAGGGATGCAAGTTTTCTAGAGAGCTGCAGCAAAGTTAAACCAATGTCACAAATGTGAGAAAGCCAAAAGGAAATATAGCAGAATGCATTACATAAGAATTCATTAAAGCAGTTTCATCATGGGTAAAATGAGTTAGTTATAGAATTCAAGAGGCTTACATGTGACTATACGCTTTCCATTAAAATGAAAATGGTAAATCTGTGATTAAATAAAAGTAAAATAAAATTTTAAATGACAATAAATTAGGAAATAAACCTAACACTAATAGCAATCATAAAATCAAATTCTTTTTTTCAACTTAACTAAAATGTTCCAAAATTACCTAGGTAAAATTTTCAAATCAGTTTTGTTTGAATGCTAATTTTTGTTTGTTTCTGAGACAAAGATGAACACCCAATTCTCAAAATTACTATAGAAAGTATTACAAAATTGTGCACCTTCTGGGAAATTTCAGAGATAAAGATCTTTAAAAGAGACAATTGAGAAGTTAATGAAATACACTTAAGACAAATGCTTCTGGCTAGAAAGGACACAATAAAGGAGAACAAACACAATGAAGTGTTTTAAATGTTGAAAGACTGACTTAGAAGGTAGTGAAGATGAACAGTGGACTTGGCAAGTAAGAACAGTTCTAACAGAAATTCAATGATAATCACCATAAACAAGACTATAGTCCAAAGGACTTCTTCCCTCTTAGTGCGCTCTGATGGTGGACTCTCGGCTGTCACCGCCTCCTGCTTACTGCAATCCAGAGTTCTCCATAGATATATAATCTTGCTTAACAAAGGCTGTTTCTCTATTATACACACACATTTTTTTAGGGAAATATATGTATATAGCTTTATCTATACACACGTGTACATATAGATTTATACAAATGTATAAATAAACAATAATACTTCTCAATCTTTCCATTGACAAGGCAAGTTCACATTCAGCAAAGTGCCACCACATCCCATATACACATCTCTATACAGATATACACAAAGGGTCTATTTTCACCCTTCAATTAGGGGGACTTTATTCTAGTGAATCCCATTAATCAGTAACTGAAGGGAGAAATGGCACCAATACAAACTCCCTTCTTTCATTTGCATGCATATGTACAAGAAATATGCAGATTTTAAAAAATCCATAAAGCAAGAGTGAATGGAACTGGGAGATGCTGTAAAAATACAACTGTAAAAATAATATATAAAGCTTTCCTAGTTCTTGACTATATATAAGATGAATGAGGCTTCAAAGATAACTACAAATTCAGGTGCATTATCGGAGGTTGTTTTGACATATTTTTAAGTACATGATTTTTTAAATATTAAAAATAAATGTGACCGGAGCATTTAATAACAACTCTAGTTCTGACTATTTTAGACCACCAGACAAACCAGTAATGAATGTATAGCAAAATGGCAAATCTCAAAATATGGGAATGTTTAATTCCATATGAATCAAGTCAAGGGTAGCATATTTTTTCCTATAGCCAAAATATGGGGGCGGAGGGCACGCTGACTTCAAAAATAATAGCACAGCTAATTTTTTCTTCGTTTTTGAACATAACTGAAATCATCTCAGTTTTGAAATATGCATGGTGAGATGATCCCAACAACTCTTTAGACAAAGCAGCCCCTTCAAAAATTGGCATTCTTTATAAAAGGCCTATAATTTTCTTAACTTCACCAAGAAAAGATGATCAATAGTATTTTCTAACTCAGAATATGAAGAAATCTATTAATGTAAATAAAGATTCAACCAATCTCTGGTCCCATCACCCCAATAGATAAATATAGCTCTGTCTCTCTCGTTTTTATGCTCAAAAGTAAGAGGCTGGTCTTAGAACCTGCTGTTACTCAGGTCATTTTAAAAACATGGCATAATATAAGTTAATCAAAATGTTAGAATAAAATACACATGATATCAGAGCTAGCCTTTTAACATAAGATAACATGAAGAATTTGGTGTATTTATCCAACAGAGACACTTGAGAAAGTAATTCCAATACCCTCAACTAAATAAATCATATTTCTACAATACATTCTGTTACCTTTCCCTATTTGTACTAAAGCACACATTCATCTCTCGCACATGTGCCCCCAATGTATATTTTTGCATGTGTGTAAAAACACAGACATATACATGCACACAAGTAATTTAATTCTATTTTTAAGTCACAGTGGGAATTCCTTAGTGAGGAGGGGTTAAAAGGTTCCTGAATAAGACACTGAGAACATCTAGATTTATTATTTTCTCTATTTTACTTCCCAACTTACAGAATCAACTGTAAATTAAAGAATAAATCCATAGGAAATAAAAGAGGTCTTAAAAACTTAGTTTACAAATTCCAGCTACAGTAGTTGGGAATTTTACTTGATCTATGTATTTCTATTTACCCTGTAACTAAGCTTCTAGCCATCGTAAGTGTAAACCACAGATCATTTACTAAAGAAACATGATTCTCAACAGTTCTATGAGCAGTAATAAATGGTCTAAAGGTGTTCTACATTTTGAGGCCCCAGGATATCCTTTTATTTTATACATCTGCAAGGTAGCAAAGGATAGCTATACACCTTGACACGGCAGAGATCCAGTGTAAAAAGGTGCTTCACTAGTTTGTTTTGTCAAAAAAATAAAAAATAAAAAAAAAAGCTCATATATAGTTTTTTAGCTATTAAACACATAGGCAACATAACTCATTACACTCAATACAGCTTTAGTATAAAACTTATAATTTATGAGGTGATGTTAATAGCATAAATTAATATACCTTTTCTCTTAAAATCTACAATAAGTATTCTGAAAGCTCATCAGGGAAGGAGATTTTTAAATAAAAGTTTTAAAGCTGTGCATGATGGGAAAGGATTCTGTATGCTGAAGCTGAGATGAGAGGCTGAAGGAGAAAGGAAACGTCCTATGCAAGACACTGTGGGCTAGGAAACCAAATGTTTTCTCTTCCTTGCGCTCTCTTCAATGATGAGTCACCTTTAGTTTTTTGAAAACTATTTTCGTATTTTAAAATCTGCCCTAATTTCCACGAGGAATCCCTGAGACATACTCAACAATGTACAGTGAAAAGAACTATCACTGTTGAGAGGAACTGATTCAACCCTTCCAAGCAGGTGAAGACAGTGTCCATCACTTCCACACTACTCCGCTGGAGCCCACTGGACCTGAACGAGGTGGAGTCATTTCAGGGCAAATCAGTCTATTCCCCAAGTCAAAGCAATGGTGAGGCATTTAGCTGCACTGGAGCCTTCGGCACTGCATGTTGAAAAAATTTCCAAGGGGTACTTTGGGTGCATACAGAGCTTACTTCAGTGGTCCCCAGCTTAAAAAAATAAACAAAAACAAAACAAAAAAACAAGTGAAAGAAGAGGATTCTGTTACTCTTCGGCCAGGATCGGCACAGACGGGCGTGCACGGCAGGCCTGGACGGCCAGGGCGGGCGCGCGGGCGCTCGAGGACTGGGGTGGGCCGGGCAAGCGGGCGGAGGGGAAGGAAGGAGCGCTCTGCTGCCCGGCAGAGCTGACCAAGAAAGAGTTGGACAGGTTTTCTCTTACAAGGTTGTCTAGCAGACTAAACTTTAGATCAGCAAAAACTCTGCCATTGAAAGGAACCAAACATTCCCAAGATCTAGGAACCTAGGATAAAGAAAGTCATACCAAAGTTGTGCTCTCTCTGATGTCACAATCCCTTTCATTAGCTCTGTATCACAGTGCAGAGAGAGGAAAGCTAACAAACAGTTAAGAGCTGGAGTGACAAGAGAATCTTTGCTATTTGGAAATAAGGCTCTTTAAATTTGTCCCACAATTTAGGCATTAATAATACTGGTTACTAGGAGAGACGTAATTACTCATTTGTTTTACGTTTTCTTTCCTCACTCACTGGTCAGGGAAATTAGTATGTTCTTCGCTGGTATTTTATTACAAATCTTTTGAATGATAGCATTTAAAATGTTAATCTACTAAACATGGATTTTGGATCCCTCCAGAATATATTGGAAAGCTTATAAAATTCAAGATATTTAGAAGTCATGAAATTGTTTTACCTTTCTATAGAATGCTAGCGAAGATCAATTATTTTCAATGTATTTAGAGGGGAAAAAAAATCCATGTTCTATCAGATATGTACTCCTATCCCCCACCCCCAAGAAATATATGTCTTGTCGGGAAAAAAGTCCTTGGTGTGATGTAGGCGTTGGTGATAGAAGAGATACAAGTGAAGACTGTTTGGGAGGACTACATTTTCTTTCTAGGAGTTCTTAAAATTACCTCAATAAACTAGGGAGTTCTGTTGACCATTTAGAAGACCAGTAAACATTAGATTATTCTATATATACCAGGTTAAAAATATAATTGAATGTTAAAAGAAGGCTAAAAAGAAAGGATGAAGAAAATGCAAACTCGACACCTAAATTTTTTTTAAATGAATTTCAAATCTATTAAACAATTAGTTTAGTGTTATTAATAGCCTCATCTTTCTACAATACCAATCCACAAGTTTTGAACTAACCTGGAGAAACGGTGATTGCCTCACACAGTCACTGGAGATGAAGCCTACCAACCACAATCCCCACCCCCACGCCGCAAGCGCACAAGAGGGCTGCAGGCAAGGATCAGTGACCAGACAGCATGCCCTTCCCTGCAGGTGCGCAAATTCTAGTGTGAACTGATAAAAACTGGTATAGGTCAACAGAAGTATAAAATCTTTCACATAAGAGAATTGTACCTATAGGGTACCTATGTATTATAACAAACACTGTTTCTTTCCAAATCAAAGAACTGTCTTTGCTTCTCTGGATTGTGATCATGGATTGAGAACAATAAGGAAAAGCTTTAGTGTTAGTCACAGAAAATGAGGATTCCTAACTTGCAGTTGAGAGACTGGGCTTATTTAAGAAATAATTCTTATACATAATTATTTGGCAAAGATAAATTATTAGCTTTCTTTAGCCTGAAGCCACTCAGGCTAACCTACAATTTTAAAGGAAAAAAAAAAATCCAACTTTATCTCCCTACCTACTATTTGCTTCTCATTATAGTCTTTTCGTGGAGGGACACTAGACACATGCTGTATGCCAACATGAAATTGCTCAGGAAGTCATTTATAAAGCAGTCATATCTCACATGGTAGGTTACTAGAGAAAATAATCCTCCACTGTATAAGCTATGTGATGAGAATTAGAAAACCTTTTCATTGCATAGTCTGTCACTTGGTGGGTCAAGTGTAATTGCAATTAACTATCGTGAATTGTTTACTAGCTACATAACCTACACAGGTGTGCAAATTGCTAAGCCATTTTTAACAGAGGAAAAAACAATGTCTTAAGTACTTTAATTAAAATAATATTAACAATTATGTAGAGAGAGAGTAAAGGAGAGAAAACATCTTCTCTTCAAATGCTGTAGATCACACACAGCCAATGAATATCATACATTAGAATGGAATTTAGTTTTTCAGAACACAGATTGTATCCATTAACTGCAGCAACTTTGAAAATAAAATCACATTAACACAATCTAACTGGCCTTTACAAATGGTCCCAAAGAACTGCAGAAACAGAGTGAACCTTCTTTGCCACTACTTCTCATGAGTTTAACACTAGAGTAAAAGCTACTTCCACCTAATTAGGACCTTATATAAAATTTGTTGTTGATTCCAGTATTGCCTTATTATAGCATAAGTGCTATTTTAAAAGACACTAATTTTCATACTTCTGGAGTAAAAAACACTTCATTCCTTTCTTTACATAGTAATAGCAAACCTACTACTAATAGACTAGGATTGCTCCATTAGCTACAAGAAAAATATAATCATATCTCTGGGTTCACAGATGTTCTCTCTTCCAAAAAGGGACTCAAGAAACAGCAAGAGCAAAGCAAACTGCAAGCTTGGATATTAGTTTTGAAGTAGGTAAAATGAGGAAAGTTTTGTTTTGTTTTGTTTTGTTTTTTACTAATTCCTCAAGCCTACACTGGGTACTTTCTATAGGTGCCCTTTCTCCAGCTATCGTAGTGGACATCTAAACAAAATGAATTTACTCCAAGTTTTTGGTGTGAAGCTGTAACTGGCAACATTCCTGATCATTTCTTGCCTCCTTACTAGAAAGCAGAAAAGGGCTTTTAAATGCACATAAAACAGAAAATTGCAAACAATAAAATGTGCAACTTACTGCAAACTCAGTTTTGATAACTGAAGAATTTTAAGCAGCTACCTTGGAGGACAAATAGCCAGAAAAGTTCAAATTGACTACCTGTGACTTTCCCTCTGCTGTCAAAGAAGGGTTGATAGGAACGTTAATGTGCTGCTCCGCTACGACCTTTAATTAGTACACAATGGAGACAAAACCAAATCGCTGGGAATGGACAGTTATTACAATGGGGTGTGAAGAGTTTAGCAAACTAAATGACACTTTTGAGCAGAGGTAACTACTCAATCATTTTGTTACAGTACATTAAAATAAAAAAGCTTACTAACATAGGTTCACAGGTGAGAAATATTCAAATGATTTGTTCTCACCATTCAGAATAGAAATTTATGGTGATACCAAATATAATTTTGCTTTGTGACATAATTTATAATTTAGAAATTTCTCAATCTGCAAAAAAGGCAAAGCTATTAAAAATAAATCTTCCAATCAATTATCATGATCTAAAAAAAACTAAATATATTACAAACATACTTTTGGCCCACAAAAAGAAACTTCAATAAATACAAAATAGGGCATATAGTGATTTCTTAGCCATGTGACTTCCCCTCTGTAATCTCAGTCACATGGTATCTGCATAATGCCTGCTGATCACCATCATTCCTTTAAAAAGCAGAGAAAGAAAAGCTTTCAAAAGAAGGGATCGGTTACAAGTAGCATGGCATAAAGAGAATACATATAGGAAGTAGGAAAATACATCCAAATCTTTACCTATTGAAAAGAAACTAAGATCAAATATTCCCTGACAAATGAAGCATTATATCACATCATTAATAGATATGTTCTCTCTACTTATCTTTTAAAATATATATATGTTAAATTAGACTAGACTCAGGTATAAATAGCCAATGGTACCTCAGGGGACAGTAAAATGTCTCAGCAAAAGCAGAGGACAGATGCCTTTAAAATCTAGGTCCACCCTTCTGGGGGAGGGGCAAGGGCTGGGGAGAAGGCAGATAAAAAGAAAACTCACATATTCATTTCATAGTCACCAATTTACTAAACTACCCAATATGATTTTTTAAGCCTAAAATCCTGGTACTTTAAGACAATTTCCCAAAACTTAAACCTAAGCACTTAAATTATTTTAAAAGTACCAAAGAGTGGGTAAAATTTATGTCTCATTTCCATAATCTGCTTTGAAAGAAACTTTAAAATGTGTATCCTTCAGATATTACATATCACTTCACAACTGGTACACTGATTCTACAAGTGTCTTCAACATTTTACATATCTTACCAAAGAATCACTACTGTAAACATGAAAAATTCAAAGCAAAAGACAGATCAAGAAGTTCACAGATGCCATCTTTCCAAATCTATCTGGCCTATCCTGCTTTTCACATCGCAGTATTTTCTTCAATTACATCTTGCGAACATATTCCACGACAGAGGGATTTAGGAACAAATGCATGTCTAAAAGGCAGTATGCCCAGCAGACCTCAGCATCTCAGCAACCCTGCAGTCATTCCAGGCAAGCTTTTCACGACACCCCCACAGCACTGACATGAATTCAGCTTTTTGCGTTTCCGGCTAAACTTAGCAGAAAAGGGTTGTGCTATTCACATGACCAGACCATCACCCTCTCTATTCAGGAAACTTAGTTAACTCAGTGGGAAAGAATGACCGATGTTATTAGGGTTATGAGGTGTGGGAAAGTAGTAAGAGCCTTATATACTCATTAGGGGGAAAAAAAGATTAACAACGGGACAGCTGCTTCCTGCCCTGCACAAAAACACACGCGTGGGCGCACACATACACACAGGCAGTCAAAAGACTAATTTTTTTCTTTTTTAATTAAACATGATCACGATTAGGAATGGAATCCTGGCCTCACTTGGCATTTAGCAGTTGGTGCTAAGTCAGAGCCTTGATCAGCCTCCACACACCATTTGCCACGTCTTACACACAGGGACTCAATTAATAGATTCATTCCATCTAGAACCACCTATGTAAAGACCTGGTAATAAAATGGAAAGCATTGATCTGAATACTAGGAAATAGTAAAGGGCACTGGTAATCTGAGGTATCTTCCACTTCTAGGACTTGCTGCTAAAAGTCAACTCTATCCAGTCACTGTGCTGAGCCACTAAAGAAAATGGGGGAGAGTGAACCTGCCAGGAGGGAATGAGCACCAGTGCAAAGGAGCACATGTGAACACTGAAGCAAGGTCCACTGCCGGGTCACTCGTTTAACTGGAAAAGGGAGTTCCCCTCAAGTCCCCATCTGTTATTTTTAAAATCTTCTTTAGGAAAAGGGGAAGGGGTGATAAAGAGGAAACAAAGATAGAAAACACCAGGTTCCTCACCTGCCTGCAAACACACAGACACGCTCAGTTAGGGGAGGTAAAAGGAGAAGATGCATTATTGGTACTTGTAGCTGTGGCACCTGTTACTGTGAAGCCTGTAGGAGGGGCTATAGAGCTGTGGCTGGGCTGCAGGTCCTTAGGAATGCCACTGTGAGAACTCAGCTGGTGGCCAAAGGCTGCGCTGAACTGAGGGAGCTGCTGCTTGGGGGAGGTGGAGGCCATTAGTTCAGCAGAAGGCCCCATGCCACTGAAGCTGGTCTGTGGCAACCCCGGAAGCACGCTGGAGCTGCTGGGGGTCACGGTGGCGAAGGCAGGCTGTGTGGTCTCTGAGTTCGAAGTGGTGGGTGGCGTGGATAGGGAAGTGGAAAGAAGATGTCCATCTGCATCGAGAAGGTTGCTAAATGGAGAGTGATCTCCAAGGTTGACAGGAAGATTGCCCCAGTGAGTTCTGGGGTTTACAACTCCTCCAAGTGGCACCTCAAGTTGGGTTGGGAGCAAGTGCTGTGCCATGATGGGCATCTCTGCTGAAAAGGTAGCTGCCATATTATCACCAGAGTAGGATGTTGTGTGGGGAGAGGTGATATGGTCACTGTAGGGAGACGGCACGTGCTCACTATCATAATGGCTTCCATGGGGCGAGGAGTGTGAATGGTCACTGCTGTATTGCTGTCGTGAGGTGATTAGGTCATCTGCCTTGCTCAGCAGCTGGGCAGGATGTGGCCTCTGGGAGGCATGGCTGCCATCATGAAGTCCATGAAACTGTCCTGGGAAGGCTCTCTCCCCAAGTGCACTCTGGCTGATCAGAGTGGCAGAAGTAAGGCCAACGCTGGCTGGGGCAGAGAACTGCCCCTGGATCTGCCCTGCCAGGGGTGTAGGTGGGTTAGACAAGGTAGCAGAACGGAGCAGGTTCTCGTCCAGCTCTAGACTAGAAAAATTATCATGGACTATGCGCCCATTCAACAACTCCCCTAGGTCCGTGTTTACCTCTCGGCTCAAGGACTGAATTCCTGAAGCTCCAGTACCTGTGGAGAACACCCCTATTCCTCTATCTGACAACTCCTGGACTGGCACACCATCTGACTGGGTAAGTACCCCAATGGTACTCAGGCACTCGAGAGAAGTTACAGCCTGCAAGGCCCGTTCAAGTTCCTCAGCCTCTTCGGTCGTTGGGAGGAGGTCTCCATTCTTTCCTGAGTAAACAAAAGCCATCAAGTCAGTGGAGCTGTTATGTGCCTATACTACAAAACCCATACATTTGAATTGTCCTTGACAGCAGTCTATTCAACAGAGGACCTGTTGAGAAGAGAAGTCTGCAAGGATTGGACTTGAAAAAAGTGAAACATTAATCTGCAGGACAGGTATGAAATGTCAAACTGTCCTGGAGCTTGTAGCACATCTTCAGTTCATTTATAAATAAACTATCTTATCAAAGTGTTAGGAAGCAGACTTGACTTGGGGTTGTGCACACACAATATAATATAGAGATGATGTATCACAGAATGGTACACTTGAAATCTATATAACTTTATTAATATCACCCCAATAAATTCAATTTTTAAAAAGTGTTAAATTTTTAGGGATTCTAAGGGTTACCAATTTAAAAGTCCTGGTGACTATTTGAATATACATATGTTTTTACCTAAAGTTATATTAAAGCCATTAAAATATAAAATATATCCCATCAGTTCAGACAAAGCTGTGTAGGAGAGCCCACTGAGTTCTGCTTGTGGACTATTCCAGCTGGAGGGGCCGCTGTGAAAAACTAGGGTACAGAAATTCAAACCTGTATTTTAGCACAGCATTAGGGACTCAGCTCATTTCATAGGTTATCTTTTATAATGCTTTTGCATTGCTAACACTTCCCTCTCATTCTTCTCTCATTTTGAACTAATTTTCTTAAAATGGAAACCCATGAGCCGACACTGATTTCATTACCAATATTTTTAAAATCTATTGTTTGAAACTTGATTAATTTACCACAAAAATTTCCAGTTTCTAATAGTGAAAGGTACATTCTAAGAGTATAAAATATTTCCCATGGCCTGGCCAGTGTGGCTCAGTGGTTGAGCATCAGCCCATGCACCAAGAGGTCACAGGTTCAATTCTCAGTCAGGGCACATGCCAGGGTTTTGGGTTTGAGCCCCAGCAGGGGGCATGCAGGAGGCAGCTGACAGTTGTTGATGTTTCTCTCTCATTGATGTTTGTTTCTCTCCCTCTCTCTCCCCCACTTCCTATCTCTCTAAAATCAATAAAAATCATATTAAAAAAAAAAAAAGATTTCCCATGAAAGCATCAGAGAATTAGTGGGATTAAACAAACTTTTGGAAAAGTACACTTCAACTAAAGTACAGGGTGAGGTAATAAAATCAGGACAAGTTCTAAACAGCTTCAATAAACTCAAGTTTGAAATGTCTTTGCTCAAAAATAAATTCAAGTAAAATTAGTCATATTATAGAAGTGAAGTTATAAACCTATCGGAATATCTATCTGCTAAGTCTATATGTGGTTGAACTAAGTACACAATTCTTACCTTCTGAAAAGGGTAAAATAGCTTATGCAGCATCATATTTTCTATCTACAGTGGAAGACTTTATATATGAGGAGGAACACTTCAAACACTTTTCAAAAATGATTTCTTTCCCTTTTTAATAACTCACTTTAAAACCCAGTTTTCTTGAATGACAATACTGACCATACCTTCAAAAAAATCAAAATCCTGTAAGTCATCAGGTAGCCGAGGCAGGACATCCGAAAAGTCCTCCTGGTTCAATTCCAAGTCGTGTGGAATGTCAGTGATCTCATTGGCAATGTCATCCGGCAGCTCATCAGCACTCAGCTCCGGCGTGGACGGGCTCCTAGGGAAGATGGCACGGTTGGCCCCACCACTCCCCCTCTACCTGCATACCCGTGTCCCCCAAACAAGTTTCTCAAACAAGAAAATGGAAAATCCTAACTTGAAATGTCCCTTTTCCTATTTTAAGAGAAGGAAATTTTACAGCAAAAAGACAGACCTCACCATATGCAGTCACTTAATGGCTACAATTTTTACCCATGTATTAAGATAGCTATTTCAAGATAATATTTTTTACTTCAAATTAGTAGAATAAATTACAGTTTGGTGGTGTATCAAGTGTGTCTTAACACTTTTTAGAGGATTTCAAATCTGGTCAACATAAAAAAATTTTTAAATGAAATAAACACATGAAACTAAAATGTTTAGCTGAAACAGAAGCCTTGTTCATCTGGTCAAATATTTACCCCTGCCAAAACTAACAATGCATCAGAATACTTCTCTTGGGACATACATGGAATTTCTGTAACAGGAAAAACTGAGAGTAGACAATTAAATTCTCAATTTCAACATCTGCTCTCTTTGTTTTAATCAAAAGCTTTATTTCAGATATAACCCAATCAGATATTTGGTAATAATTGTGCAGAAAACTAAAAAGTTGAGGCCGATATACCAAGTGGCAATGTGTAGTCTGGTTTCGATACTAGAAACGGAAACGGAACGAGAAGTCCTGGGAGCGAGGACACGGGGGAAAGGTGAGCTCGGCGCGCTCACTGACCGGATCTGAGAGGCCTCCACTGGCAGTGAGACGCTGGCGGGCATGCTGAGGTTCCCTTGGGGGACTGCAGGGGGAATGGGCTTCTGGGGTCGGCGAGGTCCACGCCTTCGCTTCTTTTTGTGTTTTTTGGTAAGTGCAGGAGGCTTGGTTTTTTTCCTGGGTTTCCTCTGCTGCTGGTGCTGAACTTTACGGGAGCTATCGCCTCTCAAGAAATTATCCTTTGAAATAAATAAAGGGGTATTTTTAAATTGAGATTATTTGGGAAAAACCTAACAGCTACCTTAAAAAATACTTATATCTTTTAATATATCATATAATGCCTAAAACATACTGTATAATTAAAACTATGTATAATAAATTAAAACCTCATTTTTTATTTACCACAAATCAATTCAATATATAATGAATATAATTCATCCCACATTTAAAGACATTGTGATGGGTGCTGTAGCATAAAAATATTATTTTTTAACTATGTTTTTACTGATTTCTTAGAGAGGAAGGGAGAGAGAGATGGAAACATCAATGTGAGAAACATCGATCATCTGCCTCCTGCACGCCCCCTACTGAGGGTCGAGCCCACACCCTGGACATGTGCCCTGACTAGAAATTGAACTGGGACCTCTCAGTCCATGGGGCAATGCTCATCCACTGAGCCACACGGGCCGAGTGCATAAAAATATTTTAAAAATTTAATTTGTAGTCTCAAAAGACTAACTCTCCCATGGGGAAAACATGAATACAAGTATACATAAATTGGGCAATAGTGTTATAAACACCTTATATGAGGACACAAAAGAAAAATCAATTAACTTTTAGTTTTGTGGGGTTAAAGGGTAAGTTAAATTTTAAGTCACTGGGGTCAAGGGGAAGACCATTTTAAGCTAAATAAAATGGCATAAACCAGACAAAAAGAACAGCAAATAACTGTGTTTGACTGGTGCATGGGGCATTATAGAGGATGAAATAGAAAAGCAAGCCCTGGCCAGTTTGGCTCAGCGGTTAGAGCCTCGGCCCACGGACCAGAGTCAAGGGTTCGATTCCAGTCGAGGGCACATATTTTGGTTACAGTTTGGTCCCAGCTCTGGCTGGGGTCGTGCGGGAGGCAGCCAGTCCATGTGTCTCTCTCAAATCAATGCCCCCCCCCGCCACACACACACACCCTGTCTGAAGATAAATGGAAAAATATCCTCAGGTGAGGATTATATAAAAAGAAAAGAAAAAGATGGATACGTAGACCTGGAAATCATAACACAGTAAAAGTCCTTCAAGTAACTGACATGGGCCAGGGAGACCAGGGAAAGAGAGGAGACAATGGGGACACAGCTTTATAAAACTGCTGCAATTAAGTGAATAGGCAAAGAAAGAAGAACCAGAAACTGACAACATAACTAGCTCTTTTCAGCTGGCACCCTTATATGTGAATACCATATTTCATCCACTTCAAGATGCACATGTTAATACCTCTGCAACTGGGGAGCATTTTACACTAGTGTCATCTTACAACTGCTGTCAGCCCGGTGATGGTCATTATAGCTGGCATTGCCTACACACACGCTCTGAGTTGGTCACAGCTCTTTGTACTGTTATCTTTTGAATAACGTATATGCATTGTTGGTTTACATGTAGAGGAAAAATTGCTGTGTATGCAGAAAAACACAAAGGGCAGCAGGGTATAAAATTGTTATTAGTGAAGCAAAAACGTTCAGTATTGAAGAACTGACCAAAATTCCTTTTTTTAGTGCAAAACAAAAACCCAATGAGAAAGGAAAATAACCACAAAGAAGACAAAGCTGATTTATAGTGATGTAAGTAGAAAATACTGCCTTTCACAGGTCAAGTAATTCAGATGAAGGCAGAATGATACAGAAGATAAAATCTATGTCTAACGAAGTCTAAAGAAGCTATTTCAGTAAGTATAAAACAAAACTTTTTTAAGTGATAGAGAAATGCACTATACAGCATTTTTTCTTTCTTTATAGTATATAAAACGAGAGTGTTTTTACAACTAATGTCACCTTTGATTTAATGACTTCAGTAATAACAAAACTAAATACATAAAAAGAGAGTAGACAATATTATCTAAATAATAATAACAGCCCTGGCCGGTGTGGCTCAGTTGGCTGAGGTCATCCTGTGTACCTAAAAGTTGCTGGTTCAATTCCCAGTCAGGGCACATGCCCGTTATGGGTTCAGACTCCAGTCAGAATGCATACAGGAGGCAACAGATCGATGTTCCTCTCTCATACTGCTGTTTCTTTCTCTCTCTCTCTGTCTTCTCCCCCTCCCCCTTCCTCTCTAAAATCAATAATTAAAAAAAAAACACTAATAACTATTACTACCATCAAACAAATTCAAAACAAAAATAAAATCAAAGCAAATCTAAGATAATTTTAATCCCAGCCAACTACATGAATCCAAACAATTGCAGGTTCAAGTCAAAATGCACAAATTTATAAAACAACAAAAAAGTTGTTTCCCAGCATCTGTAGTTCTTTTTGGCTCAACACTTTTATTATGTTCATTATTTAATTCAACAAATAGTGACTGAGCAACTAGTAGTACCCACCAGGGTGGTAGACATCCATTCTAGGCTTTCCTTCTAGGACTAGTGCAGATCTTGGCCAGGAGGAAGCTATAGAACTCCAGCAAATGATATACAAGTCCTACTTGTAAGATACCCAGCATCATCTGGTTCTGGTTCTAGGCTTGTGTCTTACTCTCCTAAGCTTACGCCTCATAGCACAGCAACATTTTTGGTGGTGTGCCAGGTACTCCACACAGAACTGCCCATGACCAAAGCCCTGCCCCACTCTTGTTAGCCCCTCACTTAGCTCCTCCAGAGAGCTAGAGCTCCCATATCCTAGCTTTCCTAGTGCCAACTGTTCATTTACCCACACTACTACAAACCCTATTCACGCCCGAACTTCTCACTGTCTCTTTCCACTTACAGGCCAGGACGATGCATGCACCAACAAACCATCTGTTGTCTAGTCTAATACCTAATGAATTCCATGTTCTGTTTGCCAGCCTGGACATCCTGGGGCATGAGCCTCTTCTACCAGTGGTATTCTATCTACTGACCAAGTCTAGTTCCATCTGAAGCACAACCCCTCCTAGCTATGTGCCTAACAGTTAATTTATTCAATCAATAATTACTTAACGAGCATCTTTGTTCTAAGCACTGAAGATACAGCAATGAACAAAAAAATGTTCCTGCCTTTGTGACATTTACATTCTAGTAGGGAGATATAGGCAATAAACAAACTAATTAATAAATAACTAGTGTTAGCTAAAAAGTGTTAGGAAAGCCCTGGCCGGTTTGGCTCAGCGGTTACAGCGTTAGCCTGTGGTCCAGAGAGACCCAGGTTCAGTTCCCGCTAAGGACATATACCTCGGCTGCAGTTTGTCCCCAGCCCTGGTTGGTTGTGTGGGAGGCAGCCACTCGATGTGTCCCTTTCACATCGATTTTTCTCTCTCTCCCTCCCACTCTATCTGAACAAAAAATGAAAAAATGTCCTCGGGTGAGGATAAAAAAAAAGTGTTAGGAAAAAATTAAGGTAGAGTATGAGGATAAAAAGTGACAGGATAGAGGGGAGGTGGAAGACTTCTTTGATGAAGTGACATTGGACATTGTCAAAACTCAAAACTGTACATCAAAAGAGTGAATTTTAATATACATAAAATCAAAGAAAGTGGAATTCACACACACAACCCTCTCTGGCTGCTATGTGAACAATATACCTGGGTGCAGGGCGGGAGGTGGGGGCATGGCAAGAAGAAGGGAGACCAATTAGGGTACTGGCACAATAATCCAGGCAAAGATGGTGGTGGCTAAGGTTTGGATGGAAGCAATGAAGTTGACAAATGTCTTTGGGTTCAGACATAGCTGAAAGTAGGGCCAAAGGACCTACACAGTGTTTGTCACCCAGGAAGTCTCCCGCAGTGGCAGACTAATGAGTTACAAGTGTTTGCTATACACAGCTGTAATTTATAACTTAAAATAAAAGTAGCTCATACTATTGCAGATTCTGTAACTGCATTCAGAGAAAACACCGTTTTCAAAACTTTGTAAATATTTTTTAAAACCCTGATTAATAATTTATTTATAGTATACAAAATGTATATTATTTTACAACTAATTTTATTATAATAATTCAACCTTACGTTTGCCTACCTGAATTTGCCTAAGCAGGAATATTTAATCAGCTGAAAAAAATAAACTGCTTTCAATTTCTTTAAAAGCAGTCACATAATAATTGTTATTAATCAAAAACTCACTCTTATCAAGTCAATAAAGCAAATCCTTAAGTATAGCCTCCTTATTTAACAATACTTTCCTAGTCTTATTAGAAGTATGCTGAACAGCGTAACTTTAAAATCAAAATACACAACTGAGATCATTTACTTCAGTGGTTTGAAAACTGCAGTGCCCATATGACCAAAGGTCTGTGAATCATCAGTCCAGATCCACAGAAATGGTTCAAGAACACAGACATTAGTCCTTAATCATGACAAAGCCTGAATAAGCTAACAAAAGTATCTAAACTTTAAAAGTTTTTAAATTAAAATGGGAAAATTATTCAACATTTGTGTATGCAGTTTAGTATACAAATTTTCAAACTATATGGTTCATAAAGGAAATTAAAAAACAAAAGAGGTTCTTAGTAGAGGAGAAGCCATTGAATTAAATACATGGCAACTGAGGTTCAGTAAGAATGTGTTATAGCCCTGGACGTTTTGCTCAGCGGTTAGAGCATCGGCCCACGGTCCAGAGAGACCTGGGTTCGGTTCCCGCTAAGGGCACGTACCTCAGTTGTGGTTTGTCCCCAGCTCTGCTTGGGGTTGTGTGGGAGGCAACAACTTGATGTGTCCCTTTCACATTGAGGTTTCTCTCTCTCTCTCACTTCCTCTCTCTCCCTATCATTCTATCTGAACAAAAATGGTACAATGTCCTCGGGTGAGGATTAAAAAAAAAAAAAAAAGAATGTATTTTAGCCCTTGTTAAACATTTAGCTAATGGCAACAGCAGGATCACAACCTTCGACATTAAGTCCTGGCCACTTAGTTCCCCAGATGCACCCCTAAAAACTTACAGTGGGCAAGAACAGTCTTACTCAGCTTTTTTGTACAACTACCTCACACAATACCTTGCAAGTAGCATAATTCATTGTCTGATGGGCAAAAACAAAAAAATGCATTTATTTTAAATGATTACATACTTCAGACAGTTCACTAATTCAGACTTGTCTCTCCTCTAAATTATTCTGAATTAATTAGAGCTTATGATACTAACATTAACAAAAGCAATGATTAAGTTCAGTAGACTAACCAAAAGGTTTGGCTTTGGGCCAAAATTTTATCAACTATCCAAGACATTCACAGAACTGTATATAAAACAATAAAAGCCTAGAGAAATAGGGTAAAAAGGAACTTGGGAAATCTGCTAGGTACGAGAAAATGTAATTCAAGAAGAGGAGAGGTATAGAATAGGGATAGATATTAAACAAAATAACCATATTTAAGTAACTACCAAAACAGTGTTGTTGTTGTTTATAAATGAGGGTATAAAATTAATTCAATGAGTCATGACCAGCATTTTTCTTTTTTTAGGAAAATAGAACAGACTAGGAAATATCATGTACTAAAAGCATTGTTTCATAAAATTTGTTTCAGTGATTTATATACATATATAGTTTGTATTAAGTCACATACTATTCCCCACTATGGATAACTATCAAAAGTTGGAAAGCCTCTGCTGCAGAAAATAAAATCTGAACTTACCATTTTTTTGGCATGTTCTTCACACAAAGGTGTCTGGTGTGTGATGTCAAAAACAGGCACAGAGCACTGCTGTCCATCCGCAAACTTGGCCGTACAACTTGAGAAGAGCTGCTGAGAGCGGTTCAAGAGGATATCTGTGTTGTTGTTTTTTAAGTTAGGAATAAAACACACTGAAATACTATTTAATTTTTCAATTGTTATATAAAACTTTCTTCTTTCTTTACTTGTGTTAAGTATAAATTTTATTGTTCAGAAAAGCTAAAGAACCAATCCAACTACTGATATGGGGAAAGGATGACAGTTTTATCATCAGTATTTAACAGAAGATACAGCTAAAGGAGTCTATTTTGCTATTGGGCTCCTAAACACAACTCTTCTTTATGGTAACTGTGATTTCTGTTATTTGGAGCAGCAGGGTCATCTCCTTCTTAACAAACTTAACTCCTAAAAGTTCCACTATAATGGTTTAAAAACAAACAAACTTTCTTTTAAGGAAAACTTCTGCACATGATACTCATCAAGAATAAAAACACCTGAAACTAATACAAAATATTTAATGTAAATTGTAATAGAAAAAAATAAAGATTAAAACATAATTAGATGGCAAAAAATATAAATATATATATATACACATATGTAAAGATAGAACTCTAAAAAAATTCATCTACCCAAATTTGGATTTTTCATTTTATATTTCTAACACCATACTCAAACCTACAACTTACAAAAAACTACTTTTAAATCAAAACTGTATGCCGGGTCGGTATGGCTCAGTGAATTGAGCGGTCCCATGGACTGAGGGGTCCCAGGTCTGATTCCTGTTTCAGGGCACATGCCCGGGTTTCGGGCTTAGTCCCCAGCAGGGGGCATGCAGGAGGCAGCTGAATAATTTTTCTCTCTCACATCGATGTTTCTATCTCTCTCTCCTGTCCTCTCTCTATATAACACCAATACAAATAATACACACACATACTACTATTAAAACTGGAACATCAGCCCTGGCCGGTTTGGCTCAGCGGTTAGAGCGTTGGCCTGCGGTCCTGAGAGACCCAGGTTCAGTTCCCACTAAGGGCGCGTACCTCGGTTGCAGTTTGTCCCCGGCCCTGGTGGGTTGTGCAGGTGGCAGCCACTCGATGTGTTCCTTTCACATTGATGTTTCTCTCTCTCTCTCTGTTCCTCTCTCTCCCTCCCACTCTACCTGAACAAAGAATGGAAAAATGTCCTCGGGTGAGGATAAAAAAAAAACAAAAAACAAAAAAAAAAATGGAACATCAGCTTTACATCACCCACATTTTTAAGCACCCATAGTTTTAGCCACTAACTACATTTTTCCAAAATTTATTTTATATCTGTTAAGGAAGTATCTTCCTGTTTTTCTATGCTTTCATAATTAAGACTCTTCAGAAAGCCTTTACTGCATAGAAACTGCTGCTGAAAAAATTGTGAAAATACAACTCAAAGAATAGAAAGGAGGGCAAAAGTCAAACAGATAGTAGAGTAACTGTTACTATATATATTTTTAAAGTGCTACTCAATTTTAAATGTTTAATAAAAGTGAGAGCAAATAAGATTATATAACCAGCCTGAAGCCCTTACTATAAGTTTTCCTCAAGCATTTCCTGTCTGAAGATACTCTCTTCTTAGTCTGTGATGTTTATATTTTATTCATGTCAAATCAGCACTGTACTCAATACAAATAGCAAACTATTCCCACAGCAAAAGGTATACTGTAAAACTATATAACTTTCTTAGAAGATTAAAAACAGTTTTTGAACATTATGATTTGATTTTCCATCAATGAGTGTTACAGTTGCTTCTTACAGTCAATTTTGCTTATTGCAATGTGATTCTTGAGTAAATAACTGCAATGATATAAGCAGAAAAAATTATGCAGAGGATATGATGAAATTGTATAAAAATTATTTTAAATATTAAATAGTTATGATTTCAAAAGTGGTTCACTTGGCTTAAGCATGAAAAACACAGCCCTGGATGAGTTTTGAATGCACCCTCAGTTTGGTTCATAGGATACGTTGGAAACAATGTCTGGTGAATGGAAGGGCTTTGTTAGTGCACTGTTCACCCTTCACCGTTCCACTGCATGCTGCTGGTTCCACCTCCCTCAACTTGGTCTGGCTTATGCTAAGAAAGGAAAAAAAACAAACACAAAATTAATTTTTAAAAAATGCTTTAAGAATCTAGGATAACTTTTCGACACTATGTTACTACAATGTAACACCAACATCTGACCTCTCTAGATTCACTAAATATAATGTAAATATGGGTTACAATGACCAGGTCCATAGCTTCCCCAATCTATTGACAAAATAAATACTATAATAATTAGTTTCAACTATGCCTGTTTTCTTTTTATTAAAGTGATATTTTGCTTCCTTTCACTTAATGAAAAGACAGTAGAGAAAAGTGATGAAGAACATGAGACTAGCCCTAGCCGGTTTGGCTCTGCAGGGTTTGAGTATAAGAGCCCAAGAACCGAAGGGTCTCGGGTTTGATTCCCGTTCATGGGCATGTACCTGGGTTGCAGGTTGGATCCCCAGCCCTGGTCAGGGTCGTGCAGGAGGCAACCAATCAATGTTTCTCTCTCACACTGATGTTTCTCTCTCTCTATCTTCCACTCTGTCTAAAAATCAGTGGAAAAATATTCTTGGGTGAGGATTAACAACAACAACAAAAACAAAAAACACAAAACACAAAACACTAAATGAGTCAGAATCTGGTCCTGAATATCAGCTCTACCTCTTACTAGCTGTGTGACCTTGGCCAAGTTACTTAGTCTTGCTTAAGTCTCAACTTCTGTGATTGTAAAGTGAAAATAAAAGAAAAGATAACACATCTAAAATATTTATCAATACAGTACACAGCATGGTACATAGTAAACAGTTCATGTTGCTAGTTTATTATTATCAACATCATTAGATTTTGGCCATGTCTAGCTGCTAAACAGTAAATCTGCAAAAAAAAATTGATCTAATACATTGAGGAAAGGGATACTAATATGTAGACATGGCTTTGCTTCTCACAAAATGCACTCATTTTGTACATTTTTTAAAACTTTCTATTATATGTCCAATTTTCACTAAATGCTCTTTTCGCTTTGTACATTAAATATTTAAATATTTTAATCTTATTTTTAAATGTTATGAATAGGCAATGTTGTTCACATGGTTCCAGAAAAAAATCAAGAAATAGAAAGCTAAGCAGTGAAGAATCTCCTTTCCAACCTTATCCTGATTTGCCAGTTCCCATTCCCTCTAAAAATAAGTGTTCATCATTTTATTAGTTTGTGGATCATTCCATAGTTTTATACAAACATAAATATATAATACTTAAATTCTTAGAAGTACAAAAACTATGCTATGTGATTCTATAAAGTATCACAAACTATTAAGCCTTTACACATGTCTAAGTACAAAGAATCTACTTACTGCATTGAGCCACAAGCCAGATATTAAATATAAAAAATCTATGAATTGTTTCTAGTATCTTTCTAAGGATTTCAATGGGATGATTTACACTAATTAGAGAAAGTCATACAAAATCTAAATTGCATATGACTTTATGTAATATCTAAATTAAATAATATTTCTATTATATTTATGACTTTCATAGAAACTACATATGCAAACAGTAACCAGGTGCTGCCACAGAGGTGGCTTTAATTAAGATTTGTCAGGATCACTAAAGTGGGGAAGTAGATCATTAAATTTAGTCCTGTGAAAAGGATTCAGGTAAATGAAGCTTTACTACTTTGGTAGCTAAGCCCAAATTTTCTTGGTCTAGATTTAAACAGAAGGTACCTCTTTCTACTGAATGGATAATTTTTGTGGAACACTAATAATTTACTCAGCCACCTACTGAACCCAGTGCACAACATATTCCCTCATTTTCTTTATCCTAGACTTAAAAAAAAAAAAAAAACCATTGGGCCCAGCCAGTGTGGCTCAGTGGTTGAGCATTGACCCATGTACCAAAAGGGAGCCAGTTCGATTCCCAGTCAGGGCACATGCCCAGGGGGGGCATGCAGGAGGTGGCCAATCGATGTTCTCTCTCATCGATGTTTCTATCTCTCTCTCCCTCTCCCTTCCTCTCTCTGTAAAAGCAATAAAAATTTTAAAAAATTAAAACTTCATTTTTTTTCATTGATTTTTTTCCCCTTTAGAGAGAGAGGGAGGGAGGGAAAGAGAGAGAGAGAGAGAAACACTGATGTGAGAGTAGAACATGGATTGGCTGCCTCCTGCACGCCAGCCACCGAGGATCAGGCCCACAACCTGGGCACGTGTCCTGATCAGGAATGGAACTGGCGACCTTCCAGTGCGCAGGATGATACCCAACCAAGTAAGCCACACAAGCCAGCGCTGGTTTCATTTTTTAAAATCACCAATATTGCCCTGGCTGGTGTTTCTCAGTGGTTAGAGCATTGGCGTGCACACCAAAGGGTCTCAGCACATACCTGGGTTACAGGTTCAATCCCTGGCCTGGGTCAGGGCATGTGCGGGAGGCAACCAATTGAAATGTCTGTCTCACATCAATGTTTCACTCTCTCTCTCTCCCTCACCCACCCTCCCTTCCACTCTTTCTCTTAAACAAAAAAAAAGAAGAAAATCAATAGAAAAAATATCCTTGGGTGAGGATTAACAAAAGAATAAAATCACCAATAGGCCCCATCTCACCAGTCTATCTCAAAATAAAGCCAAAGTCAAAATTCCAATATCCCCATGGATAATTAAGGTAAAAATGTCTGATATGATGTTAGATATATTTAATATCAAAAAAATCCCAATAAAACAAAGGGGGAACTACAAAATGTTTTGATATTTTTAATATGAAAAAAATTACTATTGGTTTCCCTTTTGTATGCTCTACTGGAGTCCCCATTAACACTGAAGGTTCCACACAACACTAGTCTCTGTAGGCGTATGGGCTACAAGATACTTAAATTTCAGTTTACATACTTTAAGATATTTCAATGGCTTATTCCACATATTCACCAACAAATATGATAAAGTTGTTAGATATAAAAGAGTATCTTAATGTTATTCAATTTATATCCAAGCTATATTTTTAAAAATACTTATTAGCCCTGGCCGGTTTGGTTCAGCGGTTAGAGTGTCAGCCTGCGGACCAGAGTCCCAGGTTCAGTTCTTGCTAAGGGCATGTACCTCGGTTGCAGTTTGTCCCTGGCCCCGGTTGGGGTCGTGTGGGTGGCAGCCACTCGATGTGTCTCTCTCACATCGATGTTTTTCTTTCTCTTTTCCCCTCTTTTCCTCCCACTCTATCTGAAGATAAATGCAAAAATGTCCTCAGGTGAGGATAAAAAAAAAATAAGTAAGTAAATAAAAAATAAAAATACCTATTATGAGGTAGCCATTAAAATTTAGAGTTCTAAAATATTTAACAGCAACTTTCAAAATGTCTTATGTGAAGCTAGTCTTTGATAGCAAATATATCCAATAGAGGGCATTACCAAACTGAGAGGCGAATTTTATGAGCCTACAATATAATGTAAAGTAGTATGATTCCAGCACACTGTTATATGATCATCAGCGAAGCACCGGGCAATGCCTTTTTTTTTTTTTTTTTTACTAAATATGGATGACATAAACCAAAAGACATCAAATAAATTTGAAAACTGTAGAGTTTTGTAATACTTAATTATCATAAAATATTTCTAAAGAAAAATATCACTAAAGGTGGTTTGGGAGATGTTCTGAAAAGAAAGTGATTGATTCTACCAGGTTAAAACAAAAAACAGATAAACAGAGTTTTCTACATAAATACCAAATTGTCCCAAACTCACATTATAGTCCTTTACATCTTTGACAAAGTCATAATACACTAGACAATATCTACAATGATCTACATACAGATTGCTTTACAGTGAACAGAACTTGGGTTTCTACTGAAATCATATACTGAAGAGCATTATATAATATCGATATTAGATATTTAAAAACCTATGTCAAACTGAGTAAATTCTTTCAACAAATAGACAACAGATGTCTCAGCACTTGTTCAAATCTATTCATTTGTTCATCAACACTGGACATTTAAGGACGAAATGTACATTGTTCCTTAGAGACAGACATTAATATAGGTATAAAATATACAGTGAAGCAGCAGACCTAACATAGTCAAGGAATACAGAAATGTTTCTCTGAGGAAGGCAAGTTTCTGAATATGCAAGCTAAGACCAAAAAGATTTCCCTCCCCTATAGAGGATTGGGAGCTCTATGAATGAGTAAGGGAAAACATTGTATGTGAGCTGCAGTCATTATGTAGGTATATTAGATATGCATAGTACATAGTTTCAAACAATTCTAAATATACCAAGAAGCAAAAAACTCTTTTTTTTTAATCCTCACCAGAGGACATTTTTGCATTTATCTTCAGATACAGAAGGAGGAAGCGGGGGGCGGGAGACCATCGATGTAAGAGACACAAAGAGTGGCTGCCACTCACACAACCCCAACCAGGGCGAGGACAAACTGCAACCGAGGTACGTGTCCCTTAGCGGAACCGAACCCGGGACTCTCTGGTCCGCAGGCTGACATTCTAACCATTGAGCAAAACTGGCCAGGGTGGGGAAGCAGAAAACTCTTAAAGGCATAGTATCTTTTTGAGATAAGCAACTGAAAAATAGGTTACTTTTTTTTTATCCTCACCTGAGGACATTTTTTTGTTTTTGGTTCAGATAGAGTGGGAGGGAGAGAGAGAGAGAGAGAGAGAGAGAAACATCAACATGAAAGGGACACATGGAGTGGCCGCAACCTGCACAACCCAACCAGGGCCAGGGACAAACTGCAACCGTGGTACATGCCCTTAGCGGGAACCGAACCCAGGTCTCTCGGGACCACAGACCAACGCTCTAACCGCTGAGCCCAACCAGCCAGGGCAAAAATAGGTTACTCTTTTACAGCAAATATAATGAAAACCAAAATACACAAAACTAAAATGAAATGTAAAAAAATGTATAGATATGTAAGAACTACAACCAATAACTACAAAGCAAAGGTTACTTTTTAGATTTGCTTATTTTAAACCGTTTTTTCCCTCAAATGACTCATGATCTCTACAGAGAAATCAGAATATATAGACTGTAAATTTTCTTAACTTTAATTTATCAATAACTCCATCACTGCTAATATTTATAAGTATAAACTCCTAAAATGTTATATACTATATATATTCAAGGTTATCTAAAAATATAATAAGTAAAAAGTGTGAAATTATAAACTCAATACAGAACTAAGCCTTTAAACTTGAAAATTATTTCTCTAGTTAAATAAGAAGACGTTTTGGAATTTTTTAATTCATTTAAGCTAATATTTTCAAAAGGTACATAATATAAGTAATTATGATTTAAGTTTTCACCATCTAGATAAACTTCTAAAATAGTAATATACCATAATTTCTTCATTGAATATCAGATAACTCTACATTTCAAATATATAGATTTCCATTCAATTAAGTATTATGTAAACATTATAAATCATAATTTCAACACAATTTTTAAGATGATTGGTGAATAGCTATATTTTTAAGGGGAAAAAACTGGACAAATAACTCTTAAATCACTATAGATCTAATTTTGCTTAATTACATACACAAAAATAAAAAAAGTGTAAAGGCTGACATTTGTATTATGAAACCATTAAAAGTCATGTTTTAAAGAAAATCATTAAAAAAGGTCACAATTCAGTGTTAAATGGAAAAAAGCAGAGAATAAAAAAAATACATATACCATGATCTCAATTTTGCTTTTTAATATTAACTCATGGCTCACTGGAGATTTCACACACACACACACACACACACACACACACGAAAAGACTGTAAGAAAACAGAATAAAAATGTTCATAGAGTTCTTTCTGTGGTGTGAATGGAGATATTATTTACAAAGATTTTTCCCCCTTCTTTTATCTATATTTAAAAAAAATTTCACAGTAAGCCAAATATCTGCACTATATACAGAGGGATATTTCCCCCCAAAGAAATCCAGTGTAATAAAATATTTTGAATACATATGTAGGTATTAACAGAAATACACTTCAAATAAAAATTTTAAATAAATAAAAAATGTAAAATGCTACTTTTGTAATAAGAAACTATAAATATTACTTTTAAATAACATACAGAATTACTAGGCACTGTATTATTTTTAAAAGACAGGCAACATTTTCAAACCCTTTAGTGAATAAATTCTAATCAAATTCTAGCAAAACAGTAATGCTTTAATTTTAATGTCAGCATTATTTTGCCATCCGTGTAGAACTTTAAGCAACAAAACCAAAATACAATGCATAAACATTCCAGACATAAATGCTCAACACCCACTGTGCCTCAACTAGCCTTTCAAAAAGTACAGAAAACAGACTGAGACAGGTTCCTTAGAAACAGGCAGTTGATTAGGCTCTGACCTGGTTCGACGGCACGCAGCACTCTGCAGTTCTTGTATTAACTGACCAGTACACTCTGGTTCTCTACTGGCCGCCTGCAACAAGGCTTTCCTAAACGTGTGCCGGCATTTCTTTTGACGGGATTCTGCCCGCTCCAGGCGGCAGAGGTGCTTGTATTTCTGCTGAAAGTAAGTGCAAAGTTGGGTCACCCTGGAGCTCCTACTCTCTGTATCATCGTCATCTGACCTGGAAGGTGCAAGGAGAGAAGAGAAAAACAAATTACCCATTAGGCTCATTTTAGAAAAGGGGAAAGCTTGGGAAGGAAGGGTGGCTGGATGCACAGGGTTAAAACTTGTGGCATGTTAGCACATACTCAAGAAAATTAGTGGATAAGAATTCCAGTAGAGCTGAAAATAAGACAGTATTTCAATAATAAGGCAGGCGGTAGAAGCAACCCAATACTATAAGAAGCTTAACCCTCTTAGCTTATCAGAATTAGACAATGCATCAGTGTCTTCTAGATTTTAAATAACTAGGAATTCTTGGGAAAAAATATATATATAATATATATATATATATATATTTTTTTACTTTTACTTACTAAAAAGCCTGAGTAAATGACATGGCAGTTAGGAGGAAACAGCATAATTTTATAAAACATACCGAGTGGCTGCCACCTGCACTACCCAACCAGGGCTGGGACAAACTGCAACTGAGGCACACGCCCTTAGTGGGAACCGAACCCGGGTCTCGGGACCGCAGGCCAACGCTCTAACCGCTGAGCCAAACTGGCCAGGGCTAATCTCACTTTTTACTATTAGATATAATGCACACTAGACTTAAAAACTGACCATATTATCTTACCTTCTTTCTCTTTTATTGTAACATAAATAAGTAGCATCCGTGTGACCCTACAAACAAAATATTATCTTCCTAATCTGTAAATTATTGCTTGGTTTATCTTCTCAAACGCCATTGCTCCTTTTTTCTTCAGAATAGCCCATTCACAGGCTATCTGTCAACCTTAGTTTAGTATATGCCCTAAGAAACACGTTCTCTTCAGTATACATTCTCTATAGATATACCAATAGAAGGATTTTACTTCCATATTTTCATTTATTCAATATTCAACAGTTACTGTATGTCTATTACACTGAGTACTATAGAGGAGAAACAAAACATTTCAAGGAGTTTGCAATGTAACTTAGACAAGATAAATGCATCCCAAAAGTTAAACAATTCAGGAGGATAAACTCAGTAACTAAAACTGTGGGGCAGTCAGACCAATGATTCAAACATCTGACCTCAAATTCAAAAAGTCTAGGAGCTCTTTAAAATGTCAGATTCCCAAGACCTTCCTGAGATCTAAACCAGAGTTTCCATGAAATAGAGCCCAGGAATCTTTATTCTGAATTGTTTCCCCCAAGTCCCACAGCAAGTCTTTATTTGGGAGTTCTAGTAGAGCCATAAGTGCTATAAATATCTTTAATGCAAAGTCAACAACAATAAGTAACATAAGAGGGGCATAGATAAAGTGCTATTAACGTTCACTAGAAAGATTGCTGGATGAAAGAAAGGCTTTGTAGAGATGACAATAGAACTGTGCAGATTTTTAAGAAAATGGGTAACAATAACAGAGCTGTGCATGAGAAAGATTACACTGTCAGCAGATGTAAATGGAGGAAGAGACAGAAGAGAACAGTGAGGAAATTATTATAAAACTCCATGGAAGAGATAACATGGAGCCACACCATAGTGGGAGCAGCAGGACTGGAGAGGATGAGGGGTAATCTGCATGTATAAAAGACAGACTTTGTCAACTGGGCAAGGGAGATGGAAGGGACAATCATCACTCAGCAGTTTCCACCAGCAAAGACCAGGGAACAGGAGCAAGAGCACATTTGGGGCAAGAATAAATTTTACTTCAGACCCAGCAAATTTCAAGTACAGATGAGGTATCAAAGGGAGAAATGGAAAAACCGTTGGAAATGATAAACTAGAGCACATTTAGGGACGAGATACAGATTTCAGAGTCAACAATTAACAACTGACAGACACAGGAGTGACTAAAGTAAAAGGCCACAGAGATAACAGAAAGAAAAAGATATATAAGGACCATTATCATAAAAGAATTAACTCAATTTGGTGACTGGATATAAAGGATAAGAAAGTCAATAATGACTCAATGACTTTGAATCTATATAACCAGGGGGATGGAGTGCCATTAATAGAAAAAAGGAAAGAGAGGAAAAATAGCAAGTCTTAAAGAAAGTAAAGTTAGGGTGGGTAATCACTTGCCAAAATTGATATTTGAAAAGACTGTTACTGCAGAGAGAAATGGCCTAGATCAGTGGTTCTCAAGTTAATGATGGAAAGACGCACCTGGATGCCATATCATGACAAAAGTTGTCAAAGCTTACTCATAATTTCCACACTTATCTTGCTGTGGACCAGTGACAAGCAGTTTGCAGACCAGCACCAGCACAGGTCCACAGACCATCTCTGGCATTGTCCTAAACTAGAAAATCTCCAAGATGCTTCCCACTTCTAAGATGCTATGATATTAATATTACAAACTTGTTTTTGCTAAGGACGAATAATAAACCGAGAAGAGAAAGGCCAGTTCCCATCATTTACCAGCATAACAAGGCTGGGCACCTACTGCATTCTCAAGGTGTGCTAGTTTCCCTCCTTCAGTGAAATGAGAGATATAGCTAGCTGGCTTGTTATATCTGAGGATAAGATAATAAAAAGAAATGACATAGGTAAAACCACAGTGTAATTACAGGTATTACTACCATTAAAATGCTAATAATAACTACAAATATATAGCAGTAAATTCCAAACCTGATTTCCTAAGACTTCAGGCATGTCTGTAATCTCAATGCATGACATGAAATTCCCCAAATAAAATTCATTTTACTTTACTTTTTATTTTATTTTATTATTTTTATTTTTTTATCCTCACCCGAGGACATTTTTCCATTTTTTGTACAGATAGAGTGGGAGGGAGAGAGGAAAGGAGAGAGAGAGAGAGAAACATCAACGTGAAGGGACACATCGAGTGGCTGCCAAACACACGACCAACCAGGGCCGGGGACAAACTGCAACCGAAGTACGTGCCCTTAGCGGGAACCGAACCCAGGTCTCTCCGGACCGTAGGCCGACGCTGTAACCGCTGAGCCAAACCGGCCAGGGCTACTTTACTTTTTAAATACAACAAAAGATGCCCTGGCCGGTGTGGCTCAGTTGGTTGAGCGACATCCCTTGGACTGAAAGTTTGCCAGTTCAATTCCCGGTCAGGGCACATACGCAGTTTGTGGTTTCTATCTCTGGTCAGCGTGCATTCGCGAGGCAACTGATTGATGTTTCTCTCTCACATCAATGTTTCTCTTTCTCTTTCTCGCTCTCTCCTTTCCTCTCTCTAAAATCAATAAACACATATTAAAAAATAAAAATAAAAAAAGAGCAAAATGGTAACATCTCTGATAAAAATAGGGGAGTCAGAAAAAAGGCACACATATTGAGGAAAATAATGAGTTTAATTTTGGAAATGTTGAATTTAGGTTATGGCAGAATATTTAATGAGAAACATCTGATAGGCAGTTCTAACTCAAAATAAAGGTCATACATGAGAAAAAAAATTGGGGAGTTATTTACACACAGATAACAGTTGAAACAAAAAAGGAGTAAAAGACTATGGCAATATGGCAACTTAGAAATTCTAAGGGACCCAAAGCAACTACATACAGGATAAAATATACTTATGGATGCATTTTGGGTCTCAAAAGTAGAGAAAACCTATTTCTGAACTGCTTGGTCAAATCAAACAAACATTTTCTTAAAAATCAGAACTGAAGCTAAAGTTGGAAGCAGGAGACAAAAGGGGGTAATGGGCTGCACTCAAGGTACATGATAACAGGAACACTAACGGTGCATGGTTTCGATTCTGTAGGTCCTAGACTTATCCTAGAGAACCTTATCCCAACAGGATGAAGGAGCTCAACCTAAGATTCTAGGATAAATCTAGGACCTACAAAACAAAAACTATCATGCATAGGAGCATGTAAGTCACTTTTCATGACAAGACAAAATGATAATAAATGACAGATACAGGCTTATGAAGCTACCATCCCCGTTTGGGTGTGCCACTCTCCGAGAACCTCTACCAATTCACCAAGCCAAAAGCTCTCTGAACCCCATGCTACTGAGATTTTATAGAGGTTTCCTCAGGCAGGCATATCTATTATTAACTCCATTTCCAGCCCCTTCCACCCTCTCTGGGGGATGGGAGTCAAGCTGAAAATTCTTAGCCTCTAATTAGAGCTTGGTGACCAGCACCCATTCAGGAACCGGAGCCACCCAGGAGCCCACCGAGAGGCACCTCAGAAGAACAAGAGATGCTCATTAGGAACTGGGGACAAAGGCCAATATATATTTTCCATTATCTCACAATAAAACTTAGAGAGAAATTTACAGCTGTAATCACCTATATTTTAAAAAAATGAAAACTACCAAATAAATAACTTAACATTCCACATTAAGAAACTAGAGGAAGAGAAAACTAAACCCAAAACAAGCAGAGAAAAGAAAATAATAAAGAGTAGGGAAAAAAATTAATGAAAAAATAGAAAAAGTATAATAGAGAAAAAGCAATGAAACCAGAAGTTGGTTCTTTGAAATCCTTAAAGCTCAACTAACCAAAAAGAAAGAGATGACTCAAATGACCAAAATTAGGAATAAAAGAGAGACATTATTACCTATCTGAAAGAGGAAAAAAACAAATGATTACAAGGGAAATTACAAAAATTCGATGCCAGAAAATTAGATAAAGATGAAATGGACAAGATTCTAGAGAGACACAAGCTTTGAGTCTCACTCAAGAAATAGAAAACCTGAATAAACCGACCACATCAAAATTACAGCTATCTGCAGAACAACCATCATTCAGAATCACTTGAAATCTAGCTGAACTGAAGTCCTACAACTAAGGATAGAAACAAGAAGCCACATCTAGACTGGTAAGAGGGACAGAGACTTGAAACAAGTTGGTCCCATACCTATGTGTAGTGGTTAAAATTCAGAAGGAATATCATGGCCATGGAGGTCCCCCCTGTGGAGCAAGAGGTCCCAGCCCCACACCAAGCCACCAAGCCCAGGTTTCCAGAGCCAGGAAGAAAGTCCCCATAAATTCAAGCTATAAAAACCAGGAAGGACTGTATTTGAGGGAGATGGAGGGCTGCTGG